AATTACCCAACAAGACATTCGAACAATTTCCATTTATCTCCCTTACGGACCCTCTTAGCTAAAAAAAACATTTATATATGAAGGTCCAAAATTTTGGAATTCTTTAAATAATGAAATAAAAAAATGCTCCATCGATTAATACTGTTAAGAAAAAAATATGAAATCGTTATATTACAATCATATAAACCTCATTGAAGTATATGTTGTTGTTGTTGTTTTTGTTGAATACAAGATTATTACAAGGAAAACAATTATTGCACACTACCAGTTTGACCGTACCTATACCCCCTTTATCCGAATCAATGAGCATTAATTTGTACTTATCGCTAGACTCTCGCCTCCCGGAGGAAAAACAAATATGTTGATCGATATGAATATTTTCAACGCTTACATACGAACTCATAATAGGGGCTCTTTCTTTGAAAGACGCATTCTGAAAGTTCACGATTTTTTTTTTTATACTGACCAATATAGCTCCATGGTGAGAAGTCTTTGCAGTGAAATGTACTCCCCAGATATGTTTTGGATAGTAATGCTAGCATCATAGAATGTATTTCTGTATCATAATTATTATGTGGTTATTCTATCTTTAACTTAAGCACATATTTCTTGCCAATAGTTTAAAGGACATTGTCTTTCATTTTCTCTGGTTATTGAATGGCTGTCATGTTTAAAGCCCCACTGTCCTACTTGTAGCTACTAGCTTGCTCCCTCAATATAGAAAACTTCCCTAATCGGTGCATGTTGGTCCCCTATGATCCTCTATTTCTTATGTTATTTGAGAGCTGAGTTGATGAGATAGCCACCTGTCAGTGACCTCGCTGTGTGGTCTAATCCCTCCTAGCCACACTAGTGTTGACAAACTTTAAATGCAGTGGCTGACTATACCATATACATTCAAACGCTTGTACAAAATCAAATCATTCATGTTTCCTCGTAGATACTCAATTCAAATCATTCAGTTCAGTTCGATTACAATGCAATTTCATTTACTTTTTAAATCAGTTATTCAATTCAAATCACTTTATATCAGTCCAATACATGTCATGCAATTAGGTTCAATACATATGACCCTTTTGGACTGTTCACTTAAATTCAATCACATTCAGAAAGATGTAAAAAGTCTCAAGGCAAATATTCTTACACTTGTAATAAAGTCCCGGGGGGGGCGGGGGGGGGGGGGGGTACTCAAATTTAGTTTGGACGGGGATGTGCCGCTCACTCGAAACCCCTACCATTTGGGGGATTTTTCTCGAAGTAAAGCCCATGTTTCACAATTTGTTGGTGTTTGGGCTCGGTGTAAAAATGTCAGAGGTAAAAATGTTAGAGGTAAAAATGTCAGAGGTAAAAATGTCAGAGGAAAAAATGTCAGAGGTAAAAATGTCAGAGGAAAAAATGTCAGAGGTAAAAATGTCAGAGGAAAAAATGTCAGAGGTAAAAATGTCAGAGGAAAAAATGTCAGAGGTAAAAATGTCAGAGGTAAAAATGTCAGAGGTAAAAATGTCAGAGGAAAAAATGTCAGAAGAAAAAATGTCAGAGGTAAAAATGTCAGAGGTAATAATGTCAGAGGAAAAAATGTCAGAGGTAAAAATGTCAGAGGTAAAAATGTCAGAGGTAAAAATGTCAGAGGAAAAATGTCAGAGGTAAAAATGTCAAAGGAAAAAATGTCAAAGGAAAAAATGTCAGAGGTATAAAATAAAAACAAAAGCATGTGACAAGTTTGTTATGGTTACACCCGGGTTTATATATATTAGGCTTATCGAAAAAGAACAGCGAGGGATATTCTGCAGTCGTTATTTCACTGCTGCTTTATTTTCCACTTTCGCAGTTTAAATTTATTTACCTTTCGGCCCCAAATTTTGACTTTTTTGCCCGATTATTGCCGAAGGAAGACGGGGGGGGGGGGGGAGGGTATTCTTCTTCTGGGGCACGGTGACCCGGCTGCTCTCCCCCTTTCTCTTATATATATGCTTTGCTTTGTATCCTTTCGAACAGTGGTCAATGCCTAGGCAGAGCAGGCAGACTAATGGGACATGGTTTCTACTCCGAGTTTCGCGCCTTGCAAGCAATCATCAGGCAACTGATGGCATTCTTAAAAGTACATGATTATCCTACAACCCTGGTAAAAATACCCCTACAATAATACTTAACTAATAAAATACAATTAGAATTACTCATGAGTAATTCTTATTGTATTGTATTCAGGTATTGTATTAGTCTTATTGTATTGTATTGTATTACTTAAGTCTTACTTTGAGCATATTTGTACCAAGGTTGTAGAGGAATCATGTACTTTGAAGAGTGCTATCAGTTGTCTGATGATTTCTTGCAAGGCGTGAAACTCGAGGATGCAACCATGCATGTCCCATTAGTCTCCCTTATTCAATATTTATATATCGGTATATTATGCTTTTGTACAAGGAAATGGTACTGGTACACTGAGCAAACTTCTGGGGAAAAAGATTTCTAAAATCGAGAAGTTTGGCCATGTTTTATAGGCTGAGTTGTCGCTCCATGGTGTAATCATTAAATAAAAAGAAAAGTCAGTACAGCCCCCAAAATAGGGTCAGATATCTATGAACCTCCCCCCCCCCCCCCCCCCCCCCCCACTTAATCTCCTTCACTTTTGAAGGATTGTTGGAAATTTCAACTGCGTGGCAATGACTATTATTATATGTAATTCCCAATAAATGCATATTTCCGACAATTCCACTTTCTAGTGGGCTTGGTATTTAAATACTCTGAAACAAAGCAGAAAGCCATGTTATCAATGCTAACCGCACCATCACATTCCCGAAGTGCGCGCGTTGCAATAAAATATTGTCGATTACTATTGCGGTATTAGTCTGGGAGAAAATCAATAAGCAGCTTTGTTACTCCGATACAAAGCAGAAAGCCGCCCATGTTACATCAATTAAAGAGAAGGTTGAGTTCTGGGGAAAGGCGAACAATAATGTGTAAGCGTTTGTTATCATTCTTATCATGCAATTGTGGAAGAACATCAAAGAAACAAGTTATTCCCTTAAAATCTATTTCAAATGACTTCATATCCCAGATAATGACAAGTAACAGCTTTAAAATGAGGCCCGATTTGTATGCCATTATGTTTGTTTAGTCCCATATCAATATCTATACAGTGCTTGTTACTTTACCAAGACTGGGCCAAAGTTTGTTATCTTTTGCAGTTTTACAAACATATAACAAACAAATCATTGCAAATTTAACACATGCCAAAAGAGCAGTGGCGGAACAAGGGGGGGGGGGCGGGCCCCCTACAGTAAGGCTGGCTATAACTAATCGAAAACCTCAACCAGGAGGGTTGATGACAAAGTAAGCATAGCTTGATAGCATGAATACCCTCAATGGATACATAATTATACAAATATGGAGGAAACAATATTGGTAAAAAGGGAAAAAAGAAAGAGGGGTGTAAATTGGATTATATTCAACGGAATAGTTAATGGAGTAAACAACTTTCTTTTTTGGGGGGGGGGGCTAGCTTGTTGTTAAGGATCATCGTTACTATAGGACTGTTGTGCCCTATCTCAGAATGTTTCTGTGCGAGTTCGTAGGTTTGTCAATGCATGCTCAGATTATCATTCAAATAATTACCTCCAGGATTGTTATATTTCTGGCCTGTTTGCGTTCTTCGGATTTAATAAAGATGTCGAGTGAAAGAGTTTAAGATCGAAAGAGCACAAATGTGAGAGTTATGTAAGTTACGAGGCCGATGATTATTGCGGGCCGGAAAGCTCAACTCTGGAGGTTAAGTTCGCAAAATTAATAAAGTTCCTTTCGACATGGGTGTGTATGGTGCCGGGGATTAATTTGACGCAATGCGTCGTAGTGACACGCCTGGGGATGAGCTTCTGAATCGAGACGGTCTTTTACTTTTTGGAGCGGGTTTTTAGTTTTTGGAGCGAGTTTTTACTTTTCGGAGCGACTTCTTGATTTTCTTATTCTTACTCCACTTCCTTTGCCGCCATGAGGTGTTAAAGCTTTAAATAGCAGAGTTCGGGTCGCCCAGCCCATATATGTAACTTTTCGTGATTCCTTGTGATTATATGTAATTATTTGTACTAAATAATCTACTCACTTTAACTCTTGACTTTTGTCGAGAACTTTCATTTCTTCGTTTGGACTTTGTTCGTCTCTGAAACGTTACACGGGCTAGGTTGTAGGCTGCCACCGGCCAAACCGGTCCGTTTCACAAACATTAACACATCAACCAATTCAAAATATCAAAAAATGTTAGACATTCATACATAATGCAAGCTTGATCACAAAAAAATAAATTTCAAAATCTATTTTCCACATTTTATTATCCTCAGGACATGTACGAAATACAACACACAGCCATTTATTAAATTTACATTATGGAAGAAAGAAATATAATAGACTAGCCCATGCAGTAGCTGTACGTCTCGACATTCTGTGTGATAAAAGTGTCGAAATATTATGACGGCACTCATTTATTTTGCTTGTACCTCTGACATTTTTTCCTCTGACATTTTTACCTCTGACATTTTTTCCTCTGACATTTTTACCTCTGACATTTTTACCTCTGACATTTTTACCTCTGACATTTTTTCCTCTGACATTTTTACCTCTGACATTTTTACCTCTGACATTTTTTCCTCTGACATTTTTACCTCTGACATTTTTACCTCTGACATTTTTTCCTCTGACATTTTTACCTCTGACGTTTTTACCTCTGACATTTTTACCTCTGACATTTTTACCTCTGACATTTTTTCCTCTAACATTTTTACCTGGCACCGGTGTTTGCATGGAAATTTTGAAAAAACGGACCCATGTTTAGGGATATTTTTGTTTAAATGGGATCCATGTTTAGGGATTTTGGGTGGAAAAGTGACCCATTAGAGCGGCACACCCCGTATGTCTTAATATGTGAGTACCCCTCCCACCTCCCGATACGTTTTTTTTAATTTTTAATACGGTATCTGTTTTAATTATATAATATCATTTGGTTTTTGCCATCCGCTCTTGAAGAAAGGCTATTTGTAAACTTTGAGCGAAGGGCGTGCGAAGGGCGTGCATTAAGCTCTTTTCAGATATCTTCTTAGATTGATATTTCTCTCTTACAGGCGTGAGACACGCACTCAGATGAAAAAACCATGCTGTCGAGGCATGTCAGAAAAATAGGAGCTCAATTGAGCTCATTTGCCCTCAATAATGGCGTACTTCATCAGCAGTCTGCCTGCAGGTGCCTGTCCACACAACAGCCACTGTACCTGCGCCGATCTACTGGCCTGGGAAAGTTCAACGAACCGCTATCTGGAATGGAAATGCCGCGGGCTGGGGGTATTGCGACGATGATGCGACTACCATATCAAACGACCGCTGAAGGTAACCGATATTTTCTGCTTTTGTACAAAATTTCCTTAATTTGCATTGCTAGTCTTATTGATTGTTATTATTCAAAAGTTTGGTATTATTATTCTTATTGTTTATTTTACAAATATCACCACAAAACTTGATGAACCAGATACTGTGAGTGGCATGAATCATGATGTGGGCGTGTCTCCCAGACTACAGACAGTGATTACCATGGTGATGGGTAAACGTAGTGTCGCCTTCAAACTGGCGTAGCCCCCATGGGTCCTTCAAATTACATTGATTTTCAAGATGAACATGGCTAACATTAGGGCCTTCATCTTTTAAAAATGCATTTACATGTATGATGTATCTCCTTAAATTATTTTTTTTTAAAGCCAACAGGAAGAGTTTGACTTTGTATTTTCAGGACTGGATGCTTGTTTCGTTGGTATTCCTCTGGATATTGGAACTTCCAATAAATCAGGAACCAGGTTTGGACCGAGACAAATCCGCACAGAGTCGGTTCTCTTGAGAAATAACAACTCTATTGGTAAGAAATCATCAGAAGTTATTTTTATTGCAACCAAAATAACAACAAACAAACAAATTATCAAACGACATGTTAAACAATTAATAAACAATTAAAATTGAGATTTGATTAAGCAGCCAAATAAAAGCAACTGAAAGGGGCTGAATTGCATAGTTTCAGTCTCCAGTCTCTATCATATAGTAAATCACTTAATAACCAAGTGTGTCTATATATATATGGCTAAGTATTGTAAAAAGTGAGTAGAATAAATCATAAGAAAACAGAGACCACTTCCAGATGACCCCCTAATTTGCCCTCTATTTTAGCTATGACATATTCAATTTTCTATTTACTTTGTACTTAATCTAAAAACATTTCAACGTCCTTATTTGATCCTTGAAATCTGCATTAATCTGGAATATAGATCAGAAGTTATTTTTAAATGTTATGCTTCTTCAAGCTGACATATCATCCTTTTTTAATTGTCATTTTGAATCTTGAATTTAGATTTTTGCAATAAAAAAAAACACCACCCCCCCCCCAAAAAAAAAAAATAATAATGATAGAAATAAGGGTAGATTACATATGAAACTCTAACTGTCATTTTTATTCCAGTGGATTGTGATCTCAATATAAATTATACACATAGAACTGGTAAAGTAGTAAAAGTATGAATTGGATTTTTTTTAAACCAAATAATTACTCATTATAATAAAGTTTTCTTATAAATGCTGGGACTTAAGGTGAGAATATTGCATTGAACAGACAAAGTTATCAAAAAATACAAAATGTACAGGAACTTTTCTTCTGTAGGACAGTTTATTTTATTCTAAATGTGGAAGAGCCCCTTACAAAGAAATGAAGAGTACAATTAGGGCAAATGTCAATTCTGGAATTGTATACTTCTGTCAAACAGGCGCAGCACCATTTGAGTCGCTTCAGGTTGCCGACATCGGGGATGTGACCCTTAACCTTTATGACCTGAAGAAATCTTGCGAGATGATTCGAGAGCAGTATTCCACCATCGTTGCTAATGGATGCAAGCCCCTGACTCTAGGAGGGGACCACACTCTTACATACCCCATCCTTCAAGCAATTAAGGTATTACCTCTCCTTCCACTTTACCTCCTCCCATTAAAGTTACATAAGCTTGAGTATATAGAGGGCAGCATACTGAGCCAACGGGTATTGCGCTCCTGTGCGTACTAGTGTCCCTTTATGCGTACGTCCGTACAGAAGCGTAAAACCTGTTAGCTCAGTGTTCACCAAGTTGCCTACTTGATTCAAAAATGCCTTGGAGGAACTGTATGTCCTTTGGCAAGATATTAATCTACATTTTCCACATTCCACCCAGGTGAGTTGAGGTGCGCATAACACACCTCAAGGGATGCAGAGACCGTGCCTTCTCATCCATCATGCTCTTCTTGTTTTTTGATCGCTCCCTTCCTCTCTTATATTGACAGCCTGGAGCACTTCTAATATAATTCCTCAAATTGAAAGGCAAAAAAAAGGAATAAAAGGGACAAGAATAGGGGGTTATACGACTCTTGTGCACCCTCCCCCATTAAATTGGCAGGTCACCAAGTACCGGTGACTTGTTTTTATATGTCTTTTACTTTTTCCTCCCATTTTCATTCTGTCAGTCTGTCTCTCTTCTCTTGCATACTCAATCTGTCTGTGTTCTCTCACATTTATCTTTTTTAAATATTTATTTACGCGCACCTTGTTCCTTTAGCTTTAGTTTAAATTGTCTGATTTCGACTATCGGTTCATTTTTGCGATGTTCTCTGACGAGTGCAAGACGAAAAGCTTCAGTATGTCTCTTTGATTTCCTTATCTTCTCTATCTAACTTTGTGAGAATACTTCTTTGTTTTTAAAGACTATAAATCTTACTACCTTTTAGGCCTATAATTCACAAGCATAGGTTTCACCATAGGCCCCTCAATATTTCAATGTTCTCCTAGTTCAGTCTTTTCAATTAATACTCACTGGAAACAAATTGATATGGGAAAGTCACCTTCTATTCCTAAATTTGACAATAGAATTCATGTTTGTACCGTGTAGATTGTAAAATGAGAAAATATGAAACCATAAACCAAAACTAAACCGTTTTTAAATGTCTCTACCTTCACGTCAGGATAAGTACGGCCCTGTAGGTCTGGTTCATGTGGATGCCCACGCAGACGTCAGCGACACAATGCTTGGTGAAAAGATAGCCCATGGTACTCCGTTCCGACGCGCCGTTGAGGATGGGTGCCTGGACTGCAAGAGGGTGGTCCAGATTGGTCTTAGAGGCACCCAGTATAGCCCCATTCCAGGAGTCAAAGGCTTTAATGAAGAAATGGTAATGTTCTTCTTTTTTTTTTGCTTTGTTTTTTTGTTCCTTGCACCAATTCAAAGAAAAAATGATATAAAAGCCTTTGCATTTAAAATCCTCCAGTCCTTAACTACCTTTCAAAGCAGAGGAAATAGTAACCTGAATTTCCCTCTTCGTCCGTACACTTTCCATTTTATCCCATTTACCCGTCAATTCAAAGACAAAATAATATAAAAGCCTTTGCATTTAAAATCCTCCAGTTCTTAACTACCTTTCAAAGCAGAGGAAATAGTAACCTGAATTTCCCTCTTCGTCCATACACTTTCAATTTTATCCCATTTACCCGTCAATTCAAAGACAAAATAATATAAAAGCCTTTGCATTTAAAATCCTCCAGTTCTTAACTACCTTTCAAAGCAGAGGAAATAGTAACCTGAATTTCCCTCTTCGTCCATACACTTTCAATTTTATCCCATTTACCCATCAATTCAAAGACAAAATAATATAAAAGCCTTTGCATTTAAAATCCTCCAGTTCTTAACTACCTTTCAAAGCAGAGGAAATAGTAACCTGAATTTCCCTCTTCATCCGTACACTTTCCATTTTATTCCATTTACCTGTCTTATGCAAAAAAATTCTTTCTAAAGACAGAGACAAACAAACAGCAACAACGGGTCAGATTATTTAGTGACTGATCGATAACATTTTTAAAGGGATAGTTGAGTTTTATTGCAGAGAGCGCTACACAAAATATTTTTTTCGTGAGATAATGAAAGACCGAGTGTCAAATTTGAAAGAATATAAATTGTAATTGACAAAATAATCTTTGTTTGATCAAAATTGGTTCAGAGACAGCTGAAATATCCATAAATATAACCATTTTGGGGCCCCACAAATATTTGGTAATTTTGAACCAGCCGTTGAAAAATGAGACGTTATATTCCAGCCAATGCCAATGTTGGTTTTTTGTTGGCTTCTCCGTGTTGGTTATAATAGAGCACAAAACCAGCCGGCCTGTGTATTGTAATTATTAACGTCACTGTATTTTTTTTAAAGCGTAGCCAAATTGGTATGACTGAATTAATATATATTTCACACATTTAGGATGTCTAAATTTGTATTTGTATTTGTTTACTCTTCCATCTCGCCCTATGTTAACAATGTTAAATCTGAGATGCATGGCCCTACGTGTTATCAGTGTCTGTGATATGGTGTAATATTGAAGCCCTTCAAAAAATTGCGCATCAAAATGATCAAGAAGTGCCTCAAAAAAGGAAAAAATCTTCCCCAATAGGCTGTAGTGCTATGAAAACCGTTAGGAAAATGCAAAAATTGATTTTGATTTCCAATCATAAATATCTTGATAATCAGAGAGGCGATCTGCTTGTAAAAGTCATGGGGTTCCTGACTGACCTAAAAGTTTATAATTATCATTGCAGCATAGAGCATGAGCTTAATCCAGGATTTTGTTTCAGAATCCGAGACAAAGTTACCCAATCCCTTTAATTACTATTTCTTCAAAATCTTTTTTTTTCAGGGCTTCAGAATTGTTCCTGCTGAAGAATGTTGGCACAAGTCGATGAACCCACTGATGGAGGAAGTCAGGGCCATGATGGGAGATGGACCGGTCTATCTGTCCTTCGATATCGATGGTATAGACCCAGGACTATGCCCTGGAACAGGTATGACATCTTGTTGTTCGTAATATTTAAAGCCTGTCATACTAGTTTGGCCGGGGGGGGGGGGGGATTAGACCTCCCTGTAAGGTCACTGACCGGTGGTTATCTCATCAAATCAGCTCTCGATTAACCATGACGAAAACAGTCCATTTAAACTTCACCCCACTTTGGACCCGAAAGTGGGGTGCATTTTGGTGGTAAGCTCACCACAGAGCAAGAGAGAGTTAGAGCAGGGACTTGGGATACTTAGGGTGCGTTTAATCGACACTTTTTCACCCTAGAATCACGGTTTCTAAAGACGTTTAGTTTAAAACGCAATGCGTTCAAGCGATTTTTTGGTCGGTCGTAAAAATAAACGTGTTTGAAAACACAAACATGAAACGCTGAAAAAGATGCGTTTTGTATCATGATTCTGCAGAATCACGGTCGCTAAAATTCGATTGAACGGACGGAGTTTTCAATCATGATTGTATGACGGAGCCTGTTCCGGTTTGGGCAAAAACCGCGCGCCTGCTTTTCATGCAATTTGCGTTTACTATACCATGCTCTTTATCGTGGCCTTTTCCGTTATGTTATACCTTGTTTTCCTTCTATCTTTTTCTCTTTCTGTCTTTCCTTATGTTATTCTTTGTTTCTTCCTTCTATTCTTATGTCATTCTTTGTTTTTTTCCTTCTATCAGCTTTTCTTATGTAATTCCTTGTTTTTATAATTCTATCACTTTCTCTTTTGTTATTTTTTGTTTCTTCTTTCTATTCTTATGTTAATCTTTGTTTTTTCCCTTCACTCACATTCTCTTATGTTATTCTTTGTTTTAATCATTAGTATCACTTTCTCTTTCTGTCTTTCCTTATGTTATTCTTTGTTTCTTCCTTGTATCACATTCTCTTTTTGTTATTCTTTGTTTCTTCTTTCTATTCTTATGTTATTCTTAGTTTTTTTCCTTCTATCAGCTTTTCTTATGTAATTCTTTGTTTTTATAATTCTATCACTTTCTCTTTTGTTATTCTTTGTTTCTTCTTTCTATTCTTATGTTAATCTTTGTTTTTTCCCTTCACTCACATTCTCTTATGTTATTCTTTGTTTTAATCATTCTATCACTTTCTCTTTCTGTCTTTCCTTATGTTATTCTTTGTTTCTTCCTTTTATTCTTATGTTATTCTTTGTTTTTTCCTTCTATCACCTTCTCTTATGTTATTCTTTGTTTCTTCCTTTTATTCTTATGTTAATCTTTGTTTTTTCCTTCTATCAGCTTTTTTTTTATGTAATTCTCTGTTTTAAGCATTCTATCACTTTCTCTTTCTGTCTTTCCTTATGTTATTCTTTGTTCCTTCCTTCTATCACCTTCTCTTATATTATTCTTTGTTTTTATAATTCTATCACTTTCTCTTATGTTATTCTTTGTTTCAATCATTATATCACTTTCTCTTTCTGTCTTTCCTTATGTTATTCTTTGTTTCTTCCTTCTATCACTTTCTCTTATGTTATTCTTTGTTTTTATAATTCTATCACTTTCTCTTTCTGCCTTTCCTTATGTCATTCTTTGTTTCTTCCTTAAATCCCTATATCACCTTCTCTTACGTTATTCTTCGTTTTAATAACTCTATCACTTTCTCTTTCTGTCTTTCCTTATGTTATTTTTTGTTTCTTCCTTCCATCACCTTCTCATTCTTTGTTTTATTATTGCGATCTATGCTCAAAACAGCAGTCGACAGTCGGCCGTAAACAATTCCAAAAAGCGCGCCGCCGAAGTTGACCTATACTTCCTGGGTCAAACTGCGAGTGTGATGCGGAGTGGCTGGGCTCGAAATGAGCTAGAATCAGCGTTGATGAAAAATCGCTTGAACGCTAACCGCAGTGACCTTGTTTTTTGTAACGGCGTTTTGATTTGTGATTCATGTTTGTGATTCTAGCTTCGAAAATTCGATTGAACGCACCCTTAGAGTCCCTAATCTGCAGTATAAACAAACTTTGCCAGGACATCGCCAGCCCAACCTTGATAAGTACTGCTTGGAACTCCTCCATGATGTTCTAGTCTTATTCGCAGTCTCATATAGGTTCGGATTATGTCCATTCTCATAGCTACCGGTATACATGGGAGATGCCAGTTTCATCTTCCTTGCTTCACTTTATAAGCATAGTTATATCAGGAACTTCCTGGTTATAATTATGTTCCTTTCAAGTTTCATCATAATTGTCTAGTTCGATATAGTACATGGACACAATTAAATATGATATTGTCTAAAATTGTCAAAAATATCTTAACATCGAAATGATTTCTGGTCATGTTTAACTATTTTAATTGAAGCCTTTTTACTTGATCTAATACTTTTATGAGGATGACATAGTCCGCAATAAACTTGACAAACATTATCATCCATACTATATGTCGTAGTTTATAACAATAATTACTCATGAACCTCACACTACAAGGACAACATTCATCCAGATTCTGAGATTGCTCATTCTCACGAAGCTTGGTGTACGCGAAGATATCGGGAAAGAAAGCGGTCTGTAATACCAGACACGCAAGTGGGGTATTTCGGTCCCCGTTCACCGAAAAGTGAGATTCTCCATTTGAAAGTCGGGTAAGGTCGACAAATATAGCCTCTGTTAAAGGCGTTACTCCGCCACCAAATTTATTCGCATAGACGAAATAAACTCGAACACGTTTAGAAAAATGGTGTAGGCCTAGGCCTATCAGGAAAGGCCGGGAAAACATACATTTTGTTGGTTTGACCGTTAAATATTTTTGAGGTATTAAAGCAAGAATAGAATGTTGTAAATATTGTTTTCGTTACATTTATTCCGTGCGTAATCTCAAGGTCTACTCAACTTTCTTTGCCTATTTCTTGCCCCCCCCCCCAAACGGCAGATCAAGGATTTGAAAATAGGGATTGGCCGGGGCTCAGACGTCAAATTTGAAATATGGGGGGGGGGGGGTGGTTGTTTAGGCAGACGGCATATTTCTTGGAATTCGTTATAAAGACGGTATTTAAAAAAATGATGATTCTGGCAAGATAAGAATTGAATTTCATCAAACTTTTATTCGATTTAATATGATCTGTATACGTATAGGATACAATATTTATTTACCCACAACACATCAAGCCGTGATGATTGAATGTCCATTGCATGTAACACGAAAGAAACAGAAACTCTCAAATCTACAATCCTTTAGAAAGATAATAATTAGCTGAGTAATTAGGGCATTACAAGACATCAAAGGACTTAATCTATTTTACAATAGTTGATGCAACCATAATGGAACATTATGCTTCTCGATACTGAGGATATGAAATTTCAGCACAAGTGTATTTGGTTTCAAAATTTTATAGCAGTTCGTTAAAGAAACATTTCGATGCTCACTTGTATAATAAATCTCTATGACAAGCTCATATTTATCACGACAGTTAAACCTTTTCACTTTTTGATACTAAAGATTGTTGAAGAATTGCCTAATTGACTGTTCGGATGATTTTTTACCTTTCTCCGAAACCTCTTGGTTTTTTACTCATGATTATAGCTCATTATTCTTTTTGTCACTGTATGTATTAATAAGCAAATACATATCTGCACAACGAACGTCTTTATGATTATGATGTCCTCGCTTCGTTGTATGTTATAAATTCAATATCATGACGAGAAGTGCGTCAAAAATATCTTCACATCGAATTGATTTCTGGTCATGTTTAACTATTTTAATTGAAGCCTTTTTACTTGATCTAATACTTTTATGAGGATGACATAGTCCGCAATAAACTTGACAAACATTATCATCCATACTATATGTCGTAGTTTATAACAATAATTACTCATGAACCTCACACTACAAGGACAACATTCATCCAGATTCTGAGATTGCTCATTCTCACGAAGATTGGTGTACGCGAAGATATCGGGAAAGAAAGCGGTCTGTAATACCAGACACGCAAGTGGGGTATTTCGGTCCCCGTTCACCGAAAAGTGAGATTCTCCATTTGAAAGTCGGGTGAGGTCGACAAATATAGCCTCTGTTAAAGGCGTTACTCCACCACCCAATTCGGAACAGCTTGCCACATGCAGTATCGTGAATGCGCCCGGCACTCTGAGCGGCCGTTTTTCAGTGTATTTTCTTTTAGTGTTCTTAAAAATTCGCTGTATCGTTTGATCAAAGAGGTACTGGGCAAGCTTGCCTATTAATGATTTGGTTCAATACATAAGCCATCTAACACGATTATTTCAAGTCGCCCTTTTTAGGTTATTATGCAGCAACATGACCAATCAAAGTTTGGTCCAGTTAACGCTTGTTGGTTGGTGGTTTTTTTAAAGTTTATTTGTCCAATTAACTTCTTTATCTTCTCAATGTTTCCTTTCCATGTTTCCTTTCCATCTTTCCTCATGTTTTTCACTATTATCACCTTTGTTCTATATACCTTTCGGCTGATATTATTCTTTATTTTTCTCCTTTCAACATCTCTTTTCTAATTTTCATTATATATTTCTTTATTTTCTCCTAATTTTATCTTCTTTAGCCATCTTTCCTTATGCCCTTCTTTATTTTCTCCGTCTTTCTAATTTTCATCTTTCCTTATGTATTCCTCTATTTTCACCTTGTTTTATTCTCTCTATCTTTTCTCATGTATTTCTTTATGTCTAACCTTCATTATCTTCTGTTTCCATCTTTCCCTGTGTATTTCTTTTTAAACCTTCTTTTATCTTCCTTTTCCATCTTTCCTTATGTTATTCTTTATTTTCTCCTAATTTGATCTTTTTCATCTTTCCTTATGTATTCCTCTATTTTCACCTTGTTTTATTCTCTCTATCTTTTCTCATGTATTTCTTTTTTTTCCAACCTTCTTTATCTTCTGTTTCCATCTTTCCTTATGTATTTCTTTTTAAACTTTTTATCTTCCTTTTCCATCTTTCCTTATGCTATTCTTTATTTTCTCTTCCTTCTTTCCCTCCATTTCCATCTTTCCTTATTATCACCCGTCTTTCCCTATTTTATCCTCCCTTTATATTTTCCTTCTGCATTTTTCCATTGCCAAGCACATCAATGTTCTCTTCTATACGTAAAAGAAACTTAAATAGCTAGTACTTGCTAAAAAAAACAATATGAAGTGAGACTTTAGACACACTAAATCCAGGCCTATTATAAATATAGGTGTAGGGTCTGCGATGAGAAGACTATGAATCTGGACTGGATGTCAGATACCAGCTGGTAATCCCTTTATCAGTAACTAGGCTATGATTGACCGCTGTCTCTCTCCCCATGGACCCTACTGGTAATCCCTTTATCAGTGGTCAGTGCTCCTATCAGATTATGGTAGCTCCAGGAAAAGTGGTGAACTGGTGAGCAGAGCTCAAATGAGATGTTTTCCTAATGTGATAAGAAAAAGGGGATCATGGGGGACCAACAGGCACCTATTAGGCATTGTTTGCTTTGTAGAGGGCGCATGCAAGTAGCTATCGGTCGTGCAGCTAGTGGGGCTTTAAACCCATTTACTACTGAGTTCTCCACTTCCCATAGGCTTAATACGGTGACCATCTGGTACCAGTACGCAATGGTTTAATGATGTAAAGACATGAAGTAATTAAAATCAAGCCAAATGATCATGGCCCTTAATCTCAAAGGCCGCTTAACTTTAGGCTAGCTACAATCCCGTCTTCAGCTAGCTACACTTGAGCATGCCTTGCGCGTGTCTGATATTGGCAACGCATTAATCTACATTTACCACTCCATACCCAGGAGATATATGGGGACCTAGTAGGAAGTCAAAAGCCTTTGAGTGTTATTCTCGAAAGCGAACTAACTTTAGTCCATGGTTTAACCCACCGACTAAGTCTGGAATGCCAATTAAGTGTCCATAATTTAATCTGTCACTTAAGTAAAATAAAATGTAATAACTTAATTAATAAACAATAATATATCTATGATATAATTATGTTATCATGGTAGTTCAGGGACATGTCAAATTATTCAAAAATATATTCATATGGACATTTGGCATTCCATACTTAGTCGGTGGATTAAACCATGGACTAAATTCAGTCCGCTTTTGAGAATACCACCCCTTGTGTTTAATATCAATTGCAATACGCCCTCACGGTGACCATATGGTAGGACTACTCCCCAGGGAGTGGAGATGGTGCACATTGCGGGCGAATGAAACCAATGACAGGGGTAATAGTATCTGTAAAGCGCTTAGAGGCGGTATTTCGTATTAATCGCTTAATAAATCCAGATTATTATTATGAACATCGTTATCTGGTTTTAGGTACTCCTGAGATTGGTGGTCTGACATCCATTCAAGCTATGGAGATAATCAGAGGATGTCAAGGTCTTAACCTTGTAGGTGGTGACCTTGTTGAGGTGGGTTCATATCATTAGGTGGTCTGTTGAAAACAGATCACCTATTGTTTTCGTCAGAATTTTCTTTATTATTATTATTATTCTTTATTTTTATTTATTTCCTACACTTTTTTGTGCCTAGGATAACTCAAGTTCGGTTTCGTCAATTTCATTCAATTTTGGCACAGTCATAGGTCATTGTCATGAGACGTGACAGGAACATTTTCAAGGTCATCAAGTCATCGTGACGTCATCCAGGCGCCATTTTGTGAAATCCCATTATCCATCATATCTTCATGATGCATAGGCAAAGGTCATTCATATCCATATCACATATATTTCAGGTCAAGGGTCTAAAGGTCATGTCATCAAAGGTCACATAAAGGTCACGACGCGCGCGTACGTGCGCGTCAAAATTTAAAAATGCTCAAAATCACTTAACTATCAAAGTAGAGTACGAATCAGGTCATTTTAAGCATTTCAAAATTTTCCGTCCGTAAGTGTCCACGCGCGCGTTGCGCGCGCTCACAACGCGCGGAAAAGGTCAAATTCCTTTTTTTTTACATGATTTAGATTCCTCTTACCGTAAATGACAACTTACATTAATTTCAGTCACTCTTGACCTTTCATAAGGCCGTGAGCGCGCGTCAAAGTTCAAAATCCGCGCGTACTGCTATGGGCAATATAATGCAAATTTGATCAAAAACATTCCATTTTAAAAATCAAAATAGCTCTTCAGATAGTCAATTGACCCCAACTTTTATATCATGGTTGGAAAAAGCATGAGTTGGAGATATGATTTCATGTCTCATTTGACCCTCAATTAACTCATGACGTCATCATAATGGCCTCCAAACTCATAATTTCAATTTGCATATTATGACGTCAGCAGATTTTTGGAAAATTGATTGTATCTCTGTAAATATTGATCAATTTTCTTTCGAATTTTGATATGTTCTACCTGAGAATATTCTCTACAAATGTAGTCATCACGATATTTCATTTTGACAAAGGCATCATGGCGTAATTTTGCGATTAAAGGAGGCATGTCAATTTTTCACATTTTGCGTGTATTCTCTATAGGACATGACTTTTTCTCAAAACTGGATTCTACATTCTCGTCTTTCGCGAGCAATATCTCCGTCGTTTTATCTTTGTTTATGCTGAGCTTTGAGTATGTTGTAGCTGAGACAATAAGCTTTCACAAAATGCCCTTTATTTTTCGATCAGATGCCGGGATCATGCTCATATTTCACTTGCAAAGTGGGATTTGAGAATTCCATTTTCCGTTTACGTGTAATCGCTAATAAGGGAAATGTTTTGGTATATCGGTAACGCACTCAATTGTTCATTTTTATTTTTCCACCACTTTCTTGTGAGCGTGATTGCTCAAATTTGGGTTGATCAATTTTCATCAATTTGTTGTCAGTCATCAGGCTTATCAAGGTCAAGTGCAGGCATTTTTTTTTAAGGTCATCAGGTCATCGTTACGTCATCCAGGCGCCATTTTGTGAAATCACATTATCAATCATATCTTCATGATGCGTCATCAAAGGTCATTCATATTCATATCACATATACTTCAGGTCAAGGGTCAATAGGTCATGCCATCAAAGGTCGTATAAAGGTCATGACGCGCGCGTACGCGCTCATCAAAATTTCAAAATGCTCAATATCACTTAAATATTAAAGTACGAATACGAATCAGGTCATTTTAAGCATTTCAAAAATGTCCGTCCGTGCGCGCGGCGCGTTCAAAGCGTAAAAACGCCGTTTTTTCGCATGGTTTGTATTCCTGACACTATTTTTGACAATTTTCAACTATTTTCAGTCATTCTCGACCTTCCATAATGCCACACGCGTGCGTCACTTTAAAATTTGTGCGCTTGTCAAAGGGTAATATAATGTTAAAAGTGGTAAAAACATGTCTATACAAAATCAATTGTATATCTCTTTAGGATGCAAGGTGACCCCAATTTTTTCTCATTTTTTGATAGAGTATGAATCGAGATATGATTTCATGTCTCATTTGGCCATTACAAATGTTTTGAGGTCATCATGCCCTTGGAACCTAAAATACGAATTTGCATATTTCGACGTCAGCATATTTCTGGAAAATTAATTGTATCTCTGTAAATATTGATCAATTTTCATCCAAATTTGTAGCTTAGATGATTGTCTACAATTTTCATTTTGATGAAGTCATCATAGTGAAAATTTCGATTAATGGCGACATGTCAGAATTTTTTTAATTTGCGTGTTATGCCTTGTACGGAAGGTGAATTTCGTTCACGTCATGCATCTACATGTCATTGTTTTTTTTTAGCAGTATCTCGCTTATTTTTGCTCTATTTCCCCCCAAATTGAAGTATGTTATAGCTGATACTATGAGCTATAGTGTGCCCTCCGTTTTTTGATCAGATGTTGAAATCATGTCGAAATTTTCAATTGAAAGTTGAAATAGCGACTATGCCTAGGCCGTTTGTCAGCTTTGCATGTATTGTCTATGGGACATATTTTGGTATATTGGTTAAAGAACAAGCTTCCATTCCGGTGAGCCAGGTTCGATTTCTGGTGGGTCAATTTTTTAAAAATTTGCTTTCGTTTATTTGATTTTATCATTTTCTTCGACTACTACCTCTCTCTCTCTCTCTCTCTCCACTATTTCTATTTCCACTATTGGTTAAAGAACAAGCTTCCATTCCGGTGAGCCAGGTTCGATTCCTGGTGGGTCAATTTTTTTTAAATTTGCTTTCGTTTCTTATTTGATTTTATCATCTTCTTCGACTACTATACCTCTCTCTCTCTCTCTCCACTATTTCACCCTCTCCCTCTCTTGCTCTGCCTCCCTCTTCTTTCTGCTCTGCATGTCTCCCTCTGTCTCAGTGCCTCTCTCTTTCTCTACTCTCTCACTCTCTACTTTTCCCGCCTTTGGCTCCAGTCCCTCTTTTATGTCTTATAGGATGTTCCTTAATTTCCTCTAGCTCTTTCTTTTTCCCTTTGTATTCTTATTTCACCCCTACCATGTTTCGTTATACTATCCTCTCTCCTTCCAACGGTATGCATTCTTATTTCTCTTTCATCCCTCGTATAACCGTCTTCCTCTCGATCTCCTTCTCTATATTTCTATCTCAACATTTTCATTTTGATGACGTCATCGTAGTGAAAATTTCGATTAAATGCGACATGTCAGAATTTTCGTAATTTGCGTGTCATATGCCTATGGGAGGTGACTTTTTCTGAAATCTGCATTGTACATTCCAGTCTTGTTTGAGCAATATCTGGATTATTTTTTTCTCGATTTTCTGCCAGCTTCGAATATTTTGTCGCTGAAAATTCTCTACACTTAAGGTCACAATTTTTTTTTTTAAATCAGATGTTGGGATCATGTCGATATTCTGACTACAAGATGTGATTTGAGAATCCTATTTTTCGTTAAAGTGTAATGTCTATGTATTTTGGAATTCTAAACAACCCGACTCAAAGCCCGTGGACAACTCGACCAGACCAGGTCGACTTGTCTAGGGTGGGATGCTTCGGGGGACAGCTCGACCAACTTTTTTTCTCCTCATGATTTCATGATCTAATATCTCTCATCTCAGATAAAATTGTCATTTGATGTATTAATTATGCTTTTATAAACACCCAACCCTAACCTAACCATAACTCTAACCCGGCGATTGTACGCCTTCGGCTCGTCAAAAATATATTCTCGTTGCAAAGAATATCAGCTTTATTCTTTAGAACAGCTCTCAAAATACTCACAATTTCCATGTTCCCTGTCATGACTGTGCTAATTATAAAAGCATTAATACATAAAATGACAATTTTATCTACGATGAGTTATTTTCAGTTATTCAGCCCACGTATACGCAATGTTTACGTCTCTAGCTCCCTAGGACAAAGAATTGTTTACATGTCAATAAATTTCTCTTTCTATATATCTATCTACTCACATCTCGCTTTTTTTCTCCCCACTCTTTCAGCCTCTCCCTCTCTTGCTCTGCCTCCCTCTTTTTCTCTTGCTCTGTCTCCCGATCCTTTTCTCTACTCTTTTACCCTCCCCCTTTCCAGCCTTCTTCTTAATATTTAAAGTCATCATCTTATTGAAAGTCATCATGAAAACTTTTACCATAAACACAAATATTCTTTTCAAAAATAATTCCTAGGTACTGAGCTTCCTTCTCACATTCCTAGATATATACTTATAAAACAGTACAACATACACAAATCAATACAATTACTACATATCTCATGAAAATGTTTGGAACAAACTGTTTCAATTTTTACTGCACATAAATTATCAGTTAAGCTTTATCAAGGTAAAACTTTAAAGTCAAACATAATATTCTTCATCTTATCAACCATTACATGATATCAGGAGATCATGACACTACATAGCTCATATCACTAAATACCAATCCTAGTCAATATAATAATAATAATAATAGTGGGTTCTTGTATAGCGCTCATGTCAGTCAGATTTGACCCTCCTGGCGCTCCCGATTATTACCCTGGGTTTAGCACGGCTGCCATACGGCGCTCTAGCATTTCAAAGAATAAATTCCTACCAGGTACCCATTTACTTCACCTGGGTGTAGTGTGGCAAATGTAGATCAATGTCTTGCCAAAGTTGTATATCCAGAAATCTCAGTTCTCAACCTATGGTTTAATCAACCAAGTTTTATAATGTACAATAAATAATATGACATTCTTACTTTTATCAAGTCATAAGGCTTAGATACATTAAATTTCCCTTGTATTTGAGTTGAAAATTTGCACATGCAATTACTAAAACGTGTTTCCAATAATCGGATTTTTCTTTTTTTAAATGATATTATATAGCACCCGTACCTCAGAACGTTAATATCATGGAAAAGGTTAAGCATGGTTATAAGTCTACAAACACCTTTGAATAAAACCTTTGCTAAAAACAATGCCAACATAGCACAACAATATCATGCTGTGGGATAATTAGCATAAAAACAATCCATGTATAAATATGTTTGACATATTCTGCACAAAGTTTAAAACCTATA